ATGCACCATCCCTCCTTCCCATCTTCCACCCCCCTCTTTGCCCCCCCCCCCGCTTCCCCGTCCAGCCCCCCCCCTCTCCCTTTGCCCTCCCTAACGCTCCCCCCCCATCTCGCCGACCTCCCGTCCTTTACCCTCCAGCCCCCCTCTCGCCCTCCCAATCACACCCGTCCCCCACAACCTCTTCTCCCATTTCTCCCCATCCCAAGGTCTGAAACCGGAAGGAAGCCCGTGAGCCCACGCTCCCTCTGATGCGAACGGGAAGGGGTTGGGGTGTGGGTTTGGTGGTAGACCGGAAGATTATGATCCGTGGTCTGCACTGACACGGGGTTGTTACCGCAGCCTTTCGGGCCCGACGTTCCGTCCGGTCGCCGGTGGCTGCAGGAAAATGGTGGCTGCGCATGCGCCCTACAAACCATGGTTCACCCGGCCTGGACTGCGTATGCATTCGATGGCCGTGACTGATTGACAGCGGGCCATGCCCTATAGGGTATCGGGGGCGGGTCTGGCGGAAAAAGCGTGTCTGGTCCTCCATCCAATCGGAGTAAAGGAGGGGGCGTGGCTGCAACGGTGGTAGTCTGGCCGAGTGCCAGAGCTGAAGTCAATAGCAGAGGTGCAGGAATAATGAGGAGAGGAAACCAAACAACGCTCGGTTTGGCTGGAAGATTTAACAAACACCCGCGGTACGCTCCCAGATCCGAATTAGAAACTCCCAGTGCCGTGTTCGAGACAAACAGGAAAACGTCCTCGGGCCTCCTATGGTAAGAGGCCCGGTTGTCGCCGCCATCTTTGTTAGGGGGCAAAGTTCCCCGGGACATTGCCTCGGGCGCCATATTTATAGGGGGCGAGGTGCAGCAGGGCGCATGTTCAGCTTGCTTTCTTTCAGACTTCAGTGGTAGGTAAGTGATCCTTGAAGATAGGATCTACATGCATTTGGAGACGCAAAGAATGATTGGGGTAATCAGCATGGTTTTGTGTGAGGGATATCCTGTCTCATAAACGTGACTCAGTTTTTTTGAGGAAGTAACTAAGACAATTGACGAAAGCAGAGTGGTCGATGTTGTTTGCTTGGACTTTATTTAAGCCTTTGACAAGGTAAAAACCGAATGAACTGCGGATGCTGTAAATCAGGAACAAAAACAAAGTTGCTGGAAAAGCTCAGCAGGTCTGGCTGCACCTGTGAAGGAAAAAACAGAGTTAACATTTCGGGTCTGGTGACCCCTCTTCCGAACTGATGGTGGCTGGGACAAGGTTCTGCATGGTAGATTAATTAGTAAAGTTATATCACATGGGATTCAGGGTGAGCTTGCCAATTTGGTATAAAATTGGCTTAACAGCAAGAGACAGTGCGTGGTGGTGGAGGGTTGTTTTTTGGACTGGAGACCTATGACCAGAGGTGTTCTGCAGGGATTGGTGCTGGGTCCACTCTGTTCACTTTATATAAACGATTTAGATCAGAATATAGAAAACATGTTTAATAAGTTTGTGGATTACACCAAGTTTGGTGGTATAGTGGACAGTGAAGATGGTTATTGAAAACTACAATGGGATCTTAATCAACTGGGCCAGTAGGAGAAGAATGGCAGAGGGAGGTTAATGCAGATAAATGGGACATTTTGCATTTTGGTAAAACAAACAAAGACAAGATTTATACAACTAAAAGTAGGGCCTTGGGCAACGTTGTCAAACAGAGACCTAGGGGTTCAAGTACATAATTCTTTGAAATTTGCATTACATTTAGCATGCTTGCCTTCATTGCTCAGACTTTTTGAGTATAGGATTTGGACGTCATGTTGAGATAGTACAGGACATTGATGAGGCCTCTTCTGGAGTACTGTTTCCAGGTCTGGTCCCCCTGTTATAGGAAGGATATAATTAAGGTGGAGAGAGTTCAGAAGAGACTTACCAGGATGTTGCCAGGAATGGAGGGCTTGAGTTATATGGAGAGGCTGGATAGGTTTGGACTTTTTCCATTGAGCGTGGGAGGTTGAGAGGTGACTTTATAAACATTTATAAAATAATGAGGGGTATAGATAAAATGAATGGCAGGTGTCTTTTCCCTAGGATTTCAAGACTGGGGGCATATTTTTAAGGTGACAGGAGAAAGGTTTTAAAAAGATGTGTTTTTGGAATGAACTTCTGGAGGAAGTGATGGATGTGGGTACAGTTACAACATTTAAAAGACATTTAGATAAGTACACGAATAGGAAATGTTTGGACGGAAATGGGTCATTTAGAATTAAGAATCAACCACATCATTGTGATTTTGGAGTTATGTATAGGCCAGGACAACAGATCCTTTCTCTTAAAGACCATTAACAAGACAGATGTGAAAGCTATGTGTTCAGTCAGCTTCAACTTGACTACAATTACCAGTCTGTATTAGCGTACGATGTCAGCCTGCTCAATTTCATGACCTGTCCTGATGGTGCATATGGTGGTGTGCCTGTCACTTCCTCACCGGAAGTCATCCTGAATCCTGAGGGACTTAACAAACGAGATCAAGCAAGTTTTTCAAGTGTACGGAGTGAGTCCTAAGAATATTCCCCCCACACCATTTTGGGAGCAGCATCCTGACTCAGTTTGAGACAAAAAAACGTGCAGACTGTTGCATGCGCCAGGCAAAAGGATTGTAAGACTTCATTATTCTTGAACTCAAACTTGCATAAAATGCATGATAACAGGTTTTCTGGCTGTTGAATTGTTTGCTGAATGCAGGTGTTATGTTCCTGTGTCCCTTGCACCAGTGACAGACAACTGCTGTGCCTTTGCTTGGCAGTGACACTACATTGCGTTTTTGTCTGTGCACTCATTTCATTGTGATATTGGCTGTAAATGCAGCCATTTATAAAATCCCTCATCTTCGCCTCTACCTCTATGACCACCACCATTCCCTGTTTCTCTCTCTGCTTTCACTGAGGCCCAAGTTTTGTATCAGCCCAGACTGGTTTGCCGTATTGCTCTTCTGATGGACGCTAGTGACTTGTTTGGTAGTTAAGATATCCTAGCAGCATTTGTGGTCACTCCTTTTCACAAGCGTTGGCCCCTTAAATGACCATAAATGATCAGATTTATTCAACTCCATTTCACCTTTGTGCCTGCTTTTATGTTTTTAATGTATACTCTCTCATCCCAATTTTTTTTTTTTCGTTTCGTTTAACCAATTTAGAAACTGCAAACCAAATGTTACATCAGGACACATTCTTCCAACCTCTCAGAACCTGAATGTTGTTGGACTTTGAACATGGAAGGACACAGCACTGTTTGCAGTGGGGAGAAATTGTTCATGTGTCCAGTGTGTGGGCGAGACTTCACACAATCATCTGCTCTGTCGAGGCACAACTGCAATCATAGCGTGCAGAAACCGTGGAAATGTAGGGACTGTGGGAAGGGGTTCATTTCCCCGTCTAAGCTGGAAACTCATCGGCGTACTCACACTGGGGAGAAGACTTTCACCTGCTCCAACTGTGGGGAGGGATTCACTCGATCATCTACCCTGCTGGCCCACCAAAGGATTCACACAGGGGAGAGGCCATTCACCTGCTCTGTGTGCGGGAAGGAATTCACTCAGTTATCTAACCTGCTGACCCACCAGCGCGTTCACACCGGGGAGAGACCATTCACCTGCACTGAGTGCGGGAAGGGATTTGCTGATTCATCTGCCCTGCTGAGACACAAGCGGGTCCACACCGGGGAGAGGCCATTCACCTGCTCCGAATGTGGGAAGAGATTCATTCAGTCAACCAACTTGCAGGTACACCAGCGCTCTCACACCGGGGAGAGGCCATTCACCTGCATTGTGTGTGAAAAAGGATTTAGTGATTCATCCAGCCTGCTGACCCACCAGCGAGTTCACACTGGGGAGAGGCCGTTCACCTGCTCCGAGTGTGGGAAGAGATTCATTCGATCATCTTACCTGCTGACCCACCAGCGCGTTCACACTGGGGAGAGACCGTTCACCTGCACTGAGTGTGGGAAGGGGTTCACTGATTCATCTGCTCTGCTGAGACACAAGCGAGTTCACACTGGAGAGAGGCCGTTCACCTGCTCTGAGTGTGGGAAGGGGTTCATTCAGTCGTACAAGCTGCAGATACACCAGCGCAACCACACTGGGGAGAGGCCATTCACCTGCACTGTGTGTGGAAAAGGATTTACTGATTCATCGAGCCTGCTGACACACCAGCGAGTCCACACGGGGGAGAGACCATACATTTGCTCAGAGTGTGGGAAGAGCTTCACTCGCTCGTCCAGCTTGCTGACACACCAGCGAGTACACACTGGGGAGAGACCGTTCACCTGCTCTGAGTGTGGAAGGAGATTCACTCGTTCATCTTACCTGCTGACACACCAGCAAGTTCACAATCAGATACTGTGATTGGATTTTGATGTTAAACACGTCCAGTAATGACTCATGGTCTTGGTCCACTTCTGATGTTGATTAAACTCCAGCCCTTGTACTGGGGCCAATAAAAGTCAAATATGGATTTGTAGGATTCCTGACTCAACTCGTGTTCACACTGAGAAAACTATTTGGCCCTTTGAGCCTTCTCCACCATCTGATGTGATCACGGCTGATCATCCAACTCAGTGCCCTCTTCGTGCTTTCGTCCCACGTCATTTGATCCCTTGAGAGCTCATTACTATATCTATCTTCTTGAAAACATTCAATGTTTTAGCTCAATTGATTTCTGCAGCAGACAATTCCACAGGTTTGCACTCTCTGGGTGAAGAAATTTCTGCTCATCTCAGTCCTAAACAGCCTACCCTGTATCCTTAGACTTTCACCCCTGGTTCTTGCATCCTCCGTCATTGGGAACATCTTTGTTTTTACCCTGTCTTGTTCTGTGAGAAGTTAATAGGTTTCTATGAGAACCATCCCACCTCTGCTTCTAAACTCCAATGAATGTAGTCCTAACTGATCCAGTGTCTATTTGTACATCAGTCCTGCCATTCTGGCATTAGTCCAGTAAAGTTTTGCTGCACTCCCTCAGAATCGGAACATCTTCCCTCCAATAAGAAGACCAAAACCGCATTCAGTATTCCAGCTGTGGTCTCACCAAGATCCTGTACAATGGCAGCAAGACATCCCTGGTCCTATCCTTGAATCCTCTTATTACAAGGGCCAATATACCATTTACCTTCTTCACTGCCTGCTGTACCTGCATGCTTACCTTCAGTGACTGGTGTACAAGGACACCCAAGTCTCATGCACCTCCCAACTTCCCCAAACAATCACTATTCAGATAATAATCTGCCTTCCTGTTTTTGTGACTAAAATGGATAACCTTGCATTTATCCACCTTATACTTAATCTATCATGCATTTGACTACTCACTCAACTTGTCCAAATCACACCATAGCATCTCTGTAGCCTCCTCACAGTTTACTCTCCCAATTAGCTTTGTATCGCCTGCAAATGTGGAGATATGACATTTAGTTCCCTCATCTAAATCATTCATACCTTTATGAATAGTTGGAGTCCAAGCACTGATGCTTCTGGTACCCCACTCATCAATGGCTGCCACTTGGAAAAAGACCCATTTATTCCAACTCTGTTTCCTGTCTGCCAACTAGTTCTCTGTGTCAGTATCCGAATCCCACGCGCTTTACTTTTACATGCTAATTTCTTATGGGATCACATCAAAAACCTTCTGAAAGTCCGGGTACATTATATCCACTGCCCCCTTCTTACCAACTACGTGCTTGGAAAATTTCTGTACATTTGTCAAGCTTAATTTCCCTTTCGTAAATACATGCTAACATCCAATCCTGTCACTGCTATCCAAATTTTCTGCTTTTAAATTGTTTATAATGGACTCTGTTTTCGGCACTACTGATGTCAGGGTAACCAATCCATACCTCCTCATTTTCTCTCTACCTCCTTTTTTGTGGTGTTATGTCAGCTACATTCCAATTCATAGGAAGTTACAGTGTCTCTGGATTCTTAAAAGATCATCCACTATTTCTAGGGCCTGTACTTTAAGTGCTGTGGGATGTAGATTATCGCATTTTGGAAATTTAAGAGCCTTTAATATCATCTATTTACCCCACGCTATTTTCCTCCTGACACTGATTTCCTTCTGTTCCTCCCTCTCACCAGATCCTGTACTCCCAACTGTTTGTGGAGCGTTATTGTTCCTTGGAGTGAATTTCTGCTACGTCTCCCAATTTCTCCAGAAACCCCTGCCATTGCTGCTCCACCATCTTCCCTATCTTTCCCCCTTTCAATCAGTGCTGGCCAGCTCCTCCCTCATGTCTTTGTAGGCTCCTTTACGCAATTGTGATACCATTGCATCTGATTCCAGCTTCTCCCCCTCAAACTGCAAGGGTGAATTCTCTCAAATCATGGTAATTGTCCTCTAGGGTTTCCTTCACCTTAAGCTCCCTAATCAAGTCTGCTCATTACACGTCACATTGCTTTTCCCGAGTGGGTTCTATCACAAGCTACTCCCAAAAACCATCTCATAGACATTCCAGAAATTCCTTTTCTTGGTGTCTGCTACCAACCTCATATTCCCAGTCCACCTGCATATTGAAATCCCCCATGATTACTGTAATCGTGCCTTCCTTACATGCCTTTTCTATCTCTTGATTTATTTTCTGCCCACATCCTGACTACTGCTTGGAGGCCTGTATATAACTCCCATCAGCATCCTTTGTGGTTCCTCACAGATTCTACACCTTCCAAGCTTATTGCTTCTTGCTGTTGATTTAATTTAATTTCTTACTAACAAGGCAACCTTCCCCCTCTGCTTGCCTGCCTGTCCTTTCAGTCGGATCCACATCCTCAGATATTTAGTTCTCAGACCTGATCCCCTTGTACCCATTTCGTTGCCAATTGGACCTGCCAATTTCAGTCTGTGCTACAAGCTCATTTATCTTGTTTTGTATATTACGTGCATTCAAGTACAATGATTCAGTTCTGGATTGACCAACCCCCTTCTCATAGATGTCCCCTTAAACCTCAGCCACAGTGGTTGTTTCCTGACCCCTTCCATACCCTGCCCTATTACCTGTTATGAAAACTTTAATAACACCTCTTGAGCACCACGGCCTCCCACCCCCTCTCCCCCACTATTTAAAGTCATTGTGACCTTGGTTTAACTCTATTTGCGCCATCAGTTGACTACCTTGTTTTAAGATATAAAACCTTTGGGTTTGTTCTATTATTGAGTTTCCCTACACTTGGTACAATATGACATTTGCACATTCTGTCCCTTCCTTTTGTTTTCTGGTAACATTTAACCCCATCACTGACCATCAAACCTACCTTTTCCTTTGCCTTTGGTTTTATAATTTTCCATGCAACTGACCCCAGCCCTGCCCACTATTCGGTTTAAGCTCAAGAGTCACCAACATTTTTAAATGCTCATCCCTGATTTTCAAATTCCTACCAATCTCTAATCTCCTCCAGCCTCTCAGTCCTCCCTAGCTCAGTACTGTTTCGCGTCACAACCCTCATATCTTGGGTTTCTCTTTTTCTGTCCTCCTGAACATTGCGGATTTTAATTTTTCACCATTGCTAACCATATTGTAGAGTCATAGATAGAGTTATAGAGTTACACAGTATGGAAACAGACCCTTCGGTCCAACCAGTCGATGCTGGCCATGCTCCTAAACTAAACTAGTCCCACTTGCCTGCATTTGGTCCATATCTCTCCAAGCCTTTTCTATTCATGTACTTATCCAAATGTCTTTTAAATGTTGTAACTATAGCTGCATCCACCACTTCCTCTGGTAATTCACTCCATGCACGAACTGCGCTCTATGCAAAAACGTTGCCCTTCGTTTCCTTTTTAAAACTTTTTCTTCTTACCTTTAAAATAATACCCTCTAGTTTCGGACTCCCTCTCCCCAGGAAAAAGACCCTAGCAATTCCTACCTGTCATGATTTTATAAATCTCTGTAAGGTCACCCCTCAACCTCCTATGCTCCAGTGAAAAAGTCCCAGCTTACTCAAATTATTTTTATAACTCAAACCTTCTGTTTTTCAGTTCCAAGGATGCCAGCTCTAGAACTTACTCCATCGAACACTCTGCCTCTCGACCTTATTTACAACAATCCTTGATACCCTGTCTTGGTCTCAGTTTTTTTGCCCCAGATCCTAACATCTCCATTTGTGGCACCATGTCAAATGTTAATTTGTAAAATTTCTGTGGATCACTGTGGAATTTTCTATTCTACGAAAGGTCTTATAAATACAAATTGTTGTTGATTTATACGTATGTCACTGCTTCTTCATTGCTAGGTGAATAACTGTTTACCTGACGTCATTGTGGGAACACCTTCACTATGGACTGCAGCGGTTCCAAAAGGTCAAACGTACATAGGCGACTAGGAATTGGCAAATTTCTGCTGGTATCTGTGAAACAAAATGAATGTTTCATGATGTGCAGAATGAATTATCGGGAATAAAAATGGTGCAGAATGTGATGGTCAATATAAAGTTGGAGTGGAAGGGGAAATTGACTCTGGCACAGGAGAAACATTTCCTGACTGAATGATCCTGTGGGAAGATAAAACCGGTAAGTCAACAGCGCGTGGGTCAAGGGATGGTCAGCTATGGAAAGTCTTTTAGACACAATTGGGCAAAATAACAGTTAAATGTCATACCTGACTAAACCTACTATTGACAGAGTAAGTTAGACAGTAGCAGAGAGGTGATCAAGGAGGGCAGAGGTAAAACGGAGCAATAAGTATGGATTAGATCCACAGTAAAGGAGTCACATCAGCTCCTGAGCTATGGAAAGTCTCTCAGATAACAGTAAGATTCTCTCAACAGCAGAGAATCTAAGCATAATCCCTTGACAGTCAAAGGTGTCACCATCACTGAATTTCCCCACTCTCAACTTGCTGGGGGATACTATTGATCAGAAACTGAACCTGTCATATCACTTGTGGGTACAAGAGCAGGTCAGAAGCTAGGAATCCTAGTGAGCAACAAAGATATGCAGGCTAGGTGGATTGGCCATGCTAAATTACCAACTGTCCAGGGATGTATAGGTTAGGTGGTTTAGCCATGGGAAATGTAGGGTTACAGAGTAGGGGGGTGGACTTGTTGGGCTGAATGGCCTGTTCCACACTGTATGGATTCTATGATCCTATGAACTCACCACCTGACCCCACCAAAACCCTGACCACATCTATAAGTCAGGTGTGTGATGGAGTACACCCCACTTGCCTGGATGAGTGCAGCTTCAACAACCCTCAAGAAGCTTGACATAATGCATGACAAAGCAGAACGCTTGATTGGCATCACATCCACAAACATCTCCCTACTCCACCAACAGCACTCAGTAGCAACAGTATGTACCGTCTGCCAGATACACTGCAGAAATTCACCAAGGCTCCTTTGACAGCACCTGCCAAATGCATTTCTGAGTCCTGGATGGAGGCAGGGAGTCAGACTTCAACCCAGGGTCTTCAAAGACATCACCTTCCAAATTCACAACCACTTCCGTCTTGAAGGTCAAAGGCAACAGACACATGGGAACATAAACACCTGCAAGTTCTCCTCCAAGCCCCTCACCACCCTGACCTGGAAACATATCAACATTCCTTCCGTGTCACTGGGTGAGAATCCTGAAAAACCTTCCTGAATGGTATCTACCTACAGCACATAGACTGCAGGAGTAGAAGGTAGCTCCCCACCCTCTTCTCAGGGGCACCTATGGATGGGTGATAAATGTTAGCCCAGTCAGCACTGCCCACATCCCATGAGTGAATTAAGGGATTCACAGAAATATTATGGTGCAGGTACCAAATATTATGGTGGCTATTCAGCTGACTACAACTGCTCTGAATTTCTTCTTAAAAATCACTCACCTTTCATCTAAGGCTGAAGTCAGAGAAAATTCTCAGTTGAAGTAATTCCCTGGGAGCACGGCAGCATCACACACGGGAACATGGAGCATTTGTGTCCCTGGAAACCAGTGATCAACATGCACTATTAAGGATGGGAAGGTCCCTGACGACTGAGAGGAGATTTACCAGAATGTTCAAGGTATGAGGAATTTTAGTGGCAAGTTTTTCATAATTTGTTCATGGCATTGCAGCATTGCTCACAATCCATTGTTCTGGCAGGAAGCGAGTTCCAGGATTTTGGCGCTGTTACGGTAAAGGAACAGCAATGATACAGGTGCAGTTCAGAATAGCGTGTGACTTGGAAGGAACCTTGCAGGTGATGATGCTCTCCTGCTGCTTTGGCGTTCCCAGTGGTAGAGGTCATGGGTTTGGAGCCTGGGTGGAATTACTGTATTGTTGGGTTCAGTTAAATGGAGAGTACTTCATCATACTCCTGACGTGTGCTTTGTAGATGCTGGGCAGGCACTGGAGAGACGCGAGGTTGGAGAACCTGAGACTGATCTCCTGCAGCAAAGACGATTGAGGAGAGATAGAAGTGCTATTGAAAGAGGTAGATAACTTAGAAAGAAGTTGTTCTCATGACAGATTGCAGGTGAAAATTTAAAAAATTTATGCGGTGAGCAGTAAGTACCTGGAACTAAGTATTTAGACCAAAAAGCTGCTGATACCACACGTCTGATGAATAGTTGATTTGATCTGATATGATGTTTGATTTGAGTTTCCTGTCTGTGAATACTTTTGTAACATCCTGTGTGCAAAAGCAATCACTGTCAGTCAGTCCAGGAGAGAGATGCAAAAAGTGCTAAATAATTTTTCTTGATTTCATAAAACAAGAACTGCCCATGCTGGAGATCTGAACATGCAAAAACAGAAATTGCTGGAGAAACTCAGCAGGTCTAGCACCATCTTTTCTCTCCACAAGTGCTGCCAGACCTGTTGTGTTTTTCCAGCAGTTTCAGATTTTGTTTGGCTCTTTATTGAGTTTGCTTTGGACACATGGGGCAGGGGTCCCATGAGGAGGTGAGATCTAATGAGCAGGATTTGCTTGCTTTGTTTTCCTTCTGCCTCAGTAGGGTGTTGATACAAATAAAACACCAGCAGCAAACCATTCAGCTGTTTGAGTTCCACTATTCAATGTGATCATGGCTGATTATCCAACTCCGTGCCCTGTTCCCACTTTCTCCCATACGATTTCACCCAAAAAACTAAATCTAATTCCTTTTTGAAAATATTCAGTGAAGCGATTGAATCGCTTTTGGTGGCAGAGAATTCCACTACTCACTATGTGAAGAAATTTCTCTTCCCCTAAGCCTGGTATTCTTAGACTGGATCTGGAATGCCCATGCAGCTTTGCAGAATTATGATAATATAGAAAATGGACACTCCGCCCATCTGTTCGATTCCCTAGTGACAATTTCCCACTGCTGATTTCCCATTTCCCTGCTCACTGTTTCTATCCTATCATCCAGTGCTCTCCATACCTTAATTCTCACTGCAAAAAAAAAGTTTCTCTCCCATCATATTCTTTTGTCTGTTACGAATGGGCAAAACCTTTTGTTTTTGCCAAGCGACACTACCTAACCCGCTCTTGATGTTGAAAGCCTCTTTAAATCTCCTGTCGGCCTTCTCTCCGGGGAGAACAGCACCAACTTCTTTAATCTATCCTGATAACTGAGGTTTCTCATTTGCTGGAACCATCCATATAAGTCTCTTCTAAGCTCTATCCAAAGCAGTGACAGCTTGATGGGGAGCAAGCCACACCCCAGTCAATGCAAACATTGCTACTGGCAACTATGACGGCTCTGTATACACACTCGTGTCATCCCTTCCTTCGTCCTATTTTAAGCTCCTACCCCCTTCCCTCACAGCCATACACCAAACCTGTCCCCTATTCCTCCATGGAGCGGGATAGGCTGAATCTCCAACCAAGCAGTGCGAGTGATGGGCGGGGCTAGTTTGCGTCATGTGACCGCAACCCCGCCGGAAGGATGCCCCCGCGCACGCGCAGTACCCCTGTGACTGTTGTCTAGCCGTACGCCGCAGCGGAAAGCGACGGTTTTAAAAAAGAAACGGAGTAAGAGCGGGGAACGAGATGATGACAGTGTGGACTGGGCGCTTTCGTGAATGCCCCCTGTAGATTCCCGGACTCGAATTAGTAAACGGCCAGCCCCGCGATTGCGGCAGGCGTCCGTGGGCCTGAGGCGGCGGCGGCGGCGGCGGCGGCGGCAGTAGTGGGTGTTGCCGCCGCCATCTTTGTCGGGGGCATGTTCCGTGGGTCCAGTTCGGGCCGCCATCTTTATAGGGGGCGAGGTGCGACAGGGCGCATGCTTTGCTTTCCTTCCCTTCACAGGGAGAGAAGGAGGATTTCCACACAGCAAACTCAAACCGAAAGAAATGTACGCCTTTTTTTGGATTTCTGTTCTGCATTAACAGAAACATTTTTTCGTTAACTCCCTTTGCAGGATATTAAATGAGAATGATTTGTAGCCGGCAAACTCAAAGGCATCGCCCCATCAAGATCTGATCGTATGACCATAAGATGTCAGAGCAGAAGTCAAAGTAACTCGATTCGTCAGTACCTGAATATCTTCGGCCTTTTACCGTGGAGGGGAAAAAGGTTTGTCTGTTCTTTGTGAGGGGAGAAGTTTTCAGGTCTGCATGTGACTGAATAGACGCCGAGTTATTGTTTAATATTGTGTCTAAATCACACCTGGAGTATGTGCTCAGTTCTGGGCACTGCACCTGAGGAAGTACAGACTGTAATGGTCTTAGACGAAGCACAGATAAGATTTATTTGAATGATACCTGGATTCTAGGAGTTGAATTATGAGGCAAGGTTAAACATAAGGCATGAAACATTCATTATGACATAGAACAAGTACATTAAGCCCATCAAGTCCAGCTTTATGAAGCAATCCAGTCTGAATCATTGTCCATAAATTACTGAAGTAGTGCTCTGCATACCCTGGTCCGTGTCATTAATATATATCGGATAAAGATGGGTCCTCACACAAACACCTGTGGAACTCCAATAGAAATCTTCCTCTCCCAAAGCAATCATTAATGACTACTGTGTTCCTGGTCTCCCGGCCTGTGCGTATCCAGGTATCTGCTGTCATGTTACTTGCATGGTCTCTAACCTTTGCTCACTTGTCTCTTCTGTGCCACTGTATAAATGTTTTTGTTGCAAGTCTATGTACAACAATACCATTAATGTCATCAACCCTCTCCAAACAAGAACTTCAAGTTCAATTTGGTTTGCTTGTAACAAATCCGTGTTAACTTTCTTTAACCCACATTTGACCAAGTCACCTAAGGCCTTTCCAACTTTCTTCAGGTCAAAGGGGCGGCCATGGGTACAGTATGGGCCCCGGTTGTGCCTATCTCTTTATAGAACGTGTGGAACGTTCCTTGTTCCAAACTTACTCGTTCCCTTCCTAGGGGGGAGGCGATGGCCTAGTGGTATTATCACTGGACTGTTAACCCAGAGACCCGGATAATGTTCTGGGGACCTGGGTTCGAATCCTGCATGGCAGATGGTGGAATTTGAATTCAATAAATATCTGGAATTAAGAATCTAATGATGACCATGAATCCATTGTCGATTATTGGGAAAAACCCATCTGGTTCACTAATGCCCTTTAGGGAAGGGAACTGCCATCCTTACCTGGTCTGGCCTACATGTGACTCCAGACCCACAGCAATGTGGTTGACTTTTAACCACCACCTGGGCAATTAGGGATGGGCAATAAATGCTGCCTAGCCAGCGATGCCCTCATCCTGTGAATGAATTAAGGAAAAGAAAAGTGGCTCTTTCTCCAGTATATTAGTGGCATCATTGGTGCTACTTCCTCCTTTTGTTTGGATTTGGGAAAAAATATTATTTCCCTTCCGATTTCTATCATGCCCTCATCTTCACCTGGTCTAGCTCTGACTCCTCCTTTCCCCTTCTTGGTATCTCTGTTCCCATTTCTGGGGATACAATGGCCACCGATTACCTCTATAAACCCACTGATTCCCGCAGTTACCTGGACTATACACCCTCGCGCTCTGCTTCTTTTAAGGACTCCATCCCATTCACCCACTTTCTCTGTCTCATCTACACTGATAATGCCACTTTGTGCAAAGAGGCCTCAGAAATTTCCACCTTTTTCCTCCACTGAGGATTTCCCTCTACAGTGGTTGACAGGGCCCTTAGCCATGTTCGACCCATTTCCCGTACTTCTGCTTTCACCTGTTCCCTCCCACAACAACGATAGGGTCCCTCTGGTCCTCGCTTACCACCCCACCAGGCTCCACATCCAAACAATTGTAAGCTGCCATTCCGTCACCTCCAACAAGATGCCAAGACCAAGCACTTTTTCCCTTCCTTCCCTTGTCAGCATTCCGCAAGGACTGTTTCCAGGACACTGGTCCACTTCTCCTTCACTCTCAACTTCTCGCACACCCAGTGTGTGCCTGCAAAAATGATCCTGAGCTTCCAGTTACCTTCCACTTCAACACACCACTGTGTTCCTGCACCAATATGCCTGCTGCAGTGTTCCAATGAGCAAGCTGAAAGAGCAGCATCTCATTTTCCACTTGGGGACCCTGCAGCATCCAGTTCAATAACTTCAGAACCTGATTTCATCCTTCTATTTTTTTTAACCCACCCCATACCTAGTCATGTTATGACAACACAATTTCTCACTCTTAGCTTTTGTTATCTCTTATCCAGTTTTTCTTCTGTCCTGGCCTGCTATTAACTATCTCCTCCTTGTTTATCCACCTCTTTCTTTTAACCCTCTCTGTGTCTCTGTCTCTGTCTCTGTCTCTGTCTCTGTTTCTCTGGGCTATGTCTCCACCTATTTGGTCAGCTCCCCCCCCCAACTCTGCCACCCACTCCCCCTCCACACTTCAACTAATGTAAATACCAGCTTTTCCCAGCTACTAACAGTTCTGATGAAGAGTCACTGGACTCAAAATGTTGACGCTGCTTTCTTCCCACAGATGCCACCAGACCTACAGAGTTCCTTCAGCAATTTCAGTTTTTGTTTCAGATCTCCAGCATCAGCAGTTCTTTGTTTTATTTGACAAAGTCACCAATCACTTTCTCCCAGTCTTTCATTTCTACAATGAATGTCTGTTCCTAACCTGCAAGATGGAACTCAAAGCCTGTACGTTTGCAGATGGCATCCCCGTGATGCCAGTTAGCTGCGACGGGACTTCTGTTGCCAGTCTGTGTTGACATCTGATGTCAGCCTGCTCCACTTCACAACTTGCCTTGACGTGGGTCTGCATGTGGTGGTGTGTAGGTCTGTAGCCCTTCAATCCTGAGGAACTTGCCGAAGAAGAGAAGAGTTCCTCACCGCAGCACAGAAACATTGACAGACTGTCAGGCCCACAGTCACTGCGCGCAGAAATATGACACTCTCAAGCATTAGCTCTGAATTAAAGCTGAAATCAAACAAGGGGTGTTTCAAGTGTACAGAATGACCATTTTTAAGAATGTTCCCCCTACCATTATAGGAGGAGGATCCGGGCTTATATTAAAGCAAAAACTGTGCAGACCGCTGCCTAATCATATTGTAAGACATCATTATTCTTGAGCTCAAACTTGCATGAAATGAATGATAACATTCTGTTTTTTTTTAAAATTATTTCCTGAATGAATACACTTTGTTCCTGTGTCCCTTGCACCAATGTGAACATATCTTTGAGACAGACAACTGCTGTGCCTTTTGCTTGGCAGTGATACGGCATTGTGTTTTTGTCTGTGCACTAATTTCACCATCCAGCAGTGATATTTGCAGCAAATGCAGCCATTTATAAAATCTCTCTCCTTCACCTGTACCTCTGTGACCACCACCACCCCCTCTTTCTCTCTTCTACTGAGGCCCGAGTCTTGAGTCACCCAGACTGGCTGGCAGCTTTGCTGTTCTGCTGGACCCGAATAACTTGATTGGTGGTTAGGACATCCAAGCAGCATTTGTGGTCAGTTCTTTTCCCAAGCATTGGCCCCACAAATGATCAGATTTACTCAGCCGCATTTCACCTTTGTTTCTGCCTTTGGTTTTTGTGGGTACTGTCTCATCCCTTTTTTTTCCCCTGTTTTAAGCAATTTGTACAGGATTTGCAGTCAGAAAGAGTGCAAACTGAATGTTACACCAGGATCTGACACATTCTTCCAACCTTTTGTAACCTGAATGTCGTCGGATTTTGAACATGGAAGGACAAAGCACGGTTTGCAGTGGGGAGAAATTGTTCATGTGTCCAGTGTGTGGGCGAGGCTTCACACAATCATCTGCTCTGTCGAGGCACAAGCGCAGTCATGGTGTGCAGAAACCGTGGAAATGTAGGGACTGTGGGAAGGGGTTCATTTCCCCGTCTAAGCTGGAAACTCATCGGCGTACTCACACTGGGGAGAAGCCCTTCACTTGCCCTGAGTGTGAAAAGGGATTTGCTGATTCATCTGCTCTCCTGAGACACCGGCGTACTCACACGGGGGAGAGGACTTTCACTTGCTCTAACTGTGGGGAAGGATTCACTCGATCATCTACCCTGCTGGCCCACCAGCGGGTTCACACAGGGGAGAGGCCGTTCAACTGTTCCGTGTGCGGGAAGGGATTCACTCAGTTATCTAACCTGCTGACCCACCAGCGAATTCACACTGGGGAGAAACCATTCACCTGCATAGAGTGTGGGAAGGGATTTGCTGATTCATCTGCCCTGCTGAGACACAAGCGGGTTCACACTGGGGAGAGGCCGTTCACCTGCTCCGAGTGCGGGAAGGGATTCATTCAGTCATACAACCTGCAAATACACCAGCGCACACACACAGGGGAGAGGCCATTCACCTGCACTGTGTGTGGAAAAGGATTTACTGATTCATCCAGCCTGCTGACACACCAGCGAGTCCACACTGGGGAGAGACCGTTCACCTGTACAGAGTGTGGAAAGAGATTCACTCGGTCATCCAACCTGCTGACACATCAGCGAGTTCACAATCAGCTACGGTAACTGGATTTTACAGTTAATCACATCCAGGACTGAACCGAAATGTTCACGGACTTGTGCTGCTGGTGTTGTTTAATGCCAGCCCAAGTATTGGGCCCAATAAAAGTGAAATAATTGTATGGGATTGTCGAATTCCTGACTCGCTAAACAGCATCACTTTCACACTGCAGAGAAACCGTTCAACCTTTTGATGTGATCAAAACTGATCGTTGAACTCAGTAACCTGTTCTTGCATTTGTCCCATACCCCTTGATCCTTTAAGCCCTCTAGAACTATATATCTCTTCCTGAAAACATTCAGTGTTTTAGCCTCAACCGACTGCTGTGGCAGAGAATTCTACAAGCTCACCACTCTCTGGATCAAGAAATTTCTGCCCATCACAGTCCTAAACGGCAAACCTTGTATTCTTAGACTTTGACCCCATGATTCTGGACTACCCAGTCGTTGGAAACATCCTTCCAACTTTTACAGCCTTTTTTGTTTCCCCAAAAGCTTTCTCTGGTTCTCAATTCTTCCCCTCCCTCCCCATTCTCAAAATAATCAACCTTGTATGCCCCTTTCTTAATTCTAGTACTGTCCCTAATTTTCATTGTTAGCCCTGGTTGGGCCACCTTTTCTTGTTCTATTTTTGTGACAGATGGGACTGAACAATTGTTGCAGTTCCTCCATGCATTCGTTAAACATTTGCCGTTGCCTATGCTGATTCACGTGATGTCCCCAATTCATTGCAGCCAGCTCATTCTTCAAATAATCACAGTTTCCCTTATTTAAGTTCAGGATTCCAATTTCAGAGTCAACCAAATGCACAGAAGTTACAAACAGGAGTAGGCATTGAAGCCTGCACCACCATTCATCATTGTAGGAAGTAAGGTTTGTAGGAGTGGGGAGAGATCAATTGGACTGAGTCTCCTCCAACCCCGGTTGACCTCTCCCTTACCAGCAATATTCGTCTGCCTACCCGCCCATTCACAGCCCTACCGGTTAATGCACAGGTATCCATGCTCGACAGCATCAGAAAATGCAGCCTTCAAAACTTGCATGTTGTGTGAAGTTGAGAAACATTGTGAACAGTGAGGAAGAAAGTGTAGGACCTCTAGAGGACACAAATTCCCCTCAGCAGTCTGTGTATGTTTATGTGTTGAACGTGGACTGGAAAATGAGAACATGCCACTAAACTATCTAGTAGGCAAATCTTACAACTAATGGAATGAAAGGAGCAGTAGCAACATAAATACAGAATTGACATAGGTATCAGTAAACAGTGTAGCCAATAATAGTTGGAAATGGATTGCTGGAAGGTACACAGTAGATTTCCACATGGGATTACTTTGCAGGCCCCTCTTATTCCTGATATATATTAATGATATGCAGGGCATGATACAGGGAAGAATCTTCCCACCTTGAGGATAGTGGATGTTTAAAATTCACTGCAGAGTTTGGCAGTCAAGGTGAAAAACAATGCCTTGAAAAGGTAACTGGATTTGCACCATAACCTGCCACATGACAGACTTGGTGTTAGGAGATAGAACTAAAATGGAAAGCTTTTTGACCACACATACACTGAATAGCTTTTTTTTAAAATACCCTTGTCTATGGTTACTTCCACCTCTGCTGTTTAAAAAAAAAAATGACTGTGCTGTCACCACTGTCTAGGAAAAGAGTTCTGAATACTCATGACCCTCTAAAGGGAAAATGATAAATAATCTCCATTTTAAATAGAAGACTCCTTATGTTTAAATTGTGTCACTAGTTCTAGTATCTGACAGGAAGAAAACTATTCTTCTAGCATCCATCCAGAATTTTTCTTTTTGCCTGTGGAGAGATTTGAAACAAAATCACAAGTGAAGACTCAAAAATCAACTGGATTTACTCAACAGCCACAGAGTCTGGTATCCAACATTTCCACCAAAAAGGTTTGCAGGATATATTTGTGGAAAATGTTTCTATTTGTGGATGGATGAGATTAAAAGTTAATTACTCAAGTATGTTGTACTATTAAGAAGCAAATTTAAAACTGAAGGTGTTGGAAATAGTCAAGATAGTGAGTGGTAGTTGAGGATTGAAAATAGGGTTTGTAAAGTCACATGGTAAAGATTTGTAAGGGAAAATGTATTCCCCTCTCTTCAGACATTGGCAGATCTGCTGAGTATTCTGGAATTTATAGTTTTTTTTTAAATTTCAGGTTAGAGCATATACATTTGGAGAGCCTTTAAAAGATCCAAGAATTTGGTCCACAGTTAGCTCATTCTTACTGTCAAGATGAAGTTTGGATGCTCTGAGCATGAAACGTAAATCACTTGTTCAATACTAAGCAAAAAACTGCAGAAGCTGGACATCTGAAATAAACAAAAAGCTGAAACTCAGTAGGTCTAGCAGCATCTGCGAAGAGGAAACAGTAACAGTTTCAAAGTAATGTCATTGGACTTGAAACTTTAACTGTGTTTTCTCTTTACAGATGCTGCCAAACCTGCTGAGTTTCTCCAACAATTTGTTTATTTTGCTTCTTTTGGCTTGTTCACTTCTCCTGCTCTGACTCTAGTGAATTCCCATCCAACAGGGTAGAACTGTGGTGGAGATCTCGTGCACATTGGTTGCTGTGTCATTAGATTGACTAGTCTCAGATCTTGACTTGTCGGGCTACAGTCGTTTGGAACAAAAGTCACAATTTTCTGTCCCGTTGCAAGCAATTCAATGGTGAAGCTTTTACCCAGCATTCACAGCGGGCGGAAAATGAGATTTGAACGCTGCTCGGGGCTGGACGCATGCGCGCGGGGTTAACGGGGCCGTAAGCATGCGCAGTGTCACGTTAGGCCTCGAGCATGCGCAGAGTCAGACAGTGATTGGAGCTGGACGAAGTGGTGAGGAAATGGCGACTTTTTAAAAAAAACAATAGAGTAGGTGGCGGAGGAAGAAATAGTGGCAGCGAGGTGGGCAAGAAAGTTTTCATAAAGCCGAAGTGAAGGTTACCGACACAGAATTGAGAGAGGATCAGTTACCCCCTCGCAGCGAAGGGCGACATTACTGAATTTTTCCTTTTGCTCAGGCCCGGGTCTCCGCCGCCAACTTTATTGGGGGCAGGAGGGCATCAGGACGCTTGCGCGGTCGACATGTTTATAGGGGGCAAATATCGGTAGGGCGCACGCGTTAACTTGCTTTACGGAAGGTAAGGAGGGGAGGAATTACACGCAGCAACCAGGAGCCAAGAGCAATTTTTGTCTCTCCCTAATTTTCTATTTTGGATTGACGATGAGGAATTTTGTAAACCTGCAGGGTTCTGGAAGTCAAGGACTGAGAGACCAAACACCCCATCAAGATTTAATAGAGTGGCTCGATCCAGCAGGACTTGAATGTGATCAGCTTCTGAATGTGCAGGGGAAAGGTTTGTCCGCTTGTCCGTGGGAGAAGATTTCAGGTATCAGAGTGAATGCACGGAAATACAACAAATCCTGGTTAGAGTACACCTAGAGAAATGTGTTCAGCTCTGTGTGACAAACCTTCAGAAGGAGTTAATGGCCTTGGAAGGATTGTAACACAGATCGACCTGAATGATATCTATACTTCATGGCTTAGATTACAAAGTATGATTGACTCTTTTGTACAGTTGGGCCATTTGTCCATTGGATACATGCAACTCTTCAAATCAATCCAGTCACGTTCCCTAATCTAACCATGTATCCTTGTGTGTTTATTTCCCTAAACTGCATATTAAATTTCTTTTTGAAATCAATCCCCATTCCCCCACACCTTGCAGCAAATTGCACGTAGTTGCCAGTCACTGTGTGAAAATGTTCTAAGCATGACATCTCCCCTGTGTCTCACTTCAAACCATCAATCTGTCCCTACTCTACAGAAGATCAGCTACTGGTAAAAAATTGTTATTTCTCTACCTTATTTAAACCTCTTGTAAGTCTTGTCCACCTCAATCTCCTTTTCAGGAATCAGCCTGGTAAATCTCCTCTGCTCCCTCTCTGTGTTCCTGTGTGTGATGTAATCACACTGCGACAATTACACATCGACTTCACCCACTCTCGGGGATTTCCTCAACTGTGAGGTTTTTCTCTGACTCCGTTGCTTCTGAAACCCTTCTAGCTGCAGGCTTCAGAAGGAAGTTTTCAAATGGTAACTAGTGGAAGTATTTCAGGGCTGTGCATTTTTACAAATTCATTTTCAATCCAGAGTTTCAGTGCAGTGCTGTAAGAGGTTCCATATGTTATGTTACTTAGTTTTAGAATTTTACTGTTTTTACAAGTGGAAGCATTTGTAGGTCAGTGAGCACGGGGGTGATAGGTGAACAAGAGTTGTTGACAATAAGCACATGACTTTTGGATAATCTCAAGATTGCAGGGATGTTGAATGAGAGAGGCTAATTTGGAGGTAGTTAGGACAGTTTAGTTTGGAGATAACAAAGGAATGGATGGGAGTTACAGCAGAAAATGAGCTGAAACTAGGGTGGAGTCAGTGATGTTACTGAGGTGGAAATAGGCAGTCTTGGTGATGATGGGGATATGTAGTTGGAAACTCATTTTGGGGTGAAATGTTTCATTATGATTGTGAACGGTCTGGTTTAGGCTCAGACAATTTCCAGGGAGAGGGATTGAGTCAGTGGAGAGGGATTGAGTCAGTGGAGAGGGAGTGGAGTTTGTAGTGAGGATTAAAGACAATGGCTTCAGTCTTCCCAACATTTAAATGGAGGAAGTTTCTGTTCATCCAATACTGAATTTCAGACAAATTAGGATGGTGTTTGACAGAGGGAACTTGGAGGTATGTTCAAATACACCTGCTACCTCCTTTCAGGGGCTGGAAGTTCAGGATTTGAGAAATTCTCTAAAAGTTTTATTTGAGTTGTAAATATATAAAATGCTTCTCTTGCCTCTCCCTCCCTCTCTGCTTCTGCTTCGTTGTGGCCAGTTTTCTGTAGGTCCAGACAGGTTGGACATTAGAGAGCCAGCTGTGTTTTTATGAGAACCCAGCAGCTTTAATGCTCACTTTTCTGCATGTCAGCCCCATAAATTACAAAATCAATTCAGCTCAGTGTCAGAGTCTGCCTTTGTGTTTCTCAAGGGGGTTCTCTTACTTTATTTGTTTGTGTTTCGAATCAAAGACAGAGGATATTAGAACAAGAAAATTTGAATTGGGAAATTTGAACGAAACATCACATCAGGATCTGACGGAGTCAGCCAATTTATCTTAATGTGAATATCATTGGATTTTGAACATGGAAGGAGAAAGCACTGTTCACAGTGGGGAGAAACCGTACATCTGTTCTGTGTGTGGAAGAGGCTTCAGCCGATCATCTGGCCTGTCGAGACATCAGCGCAGTGACATGGTGGAGAAACCGTGGAAATGTGGGGACTGTGGAAAAGGATTCAAATCCCCTTCTGAGCTGGAAACTCACCGGCGCAGTCACACCGGGGAAAGGCCCTTCACCTGCTCTGAGTGTGGCAAGGGATTCACTCAGTCGTCCACCCTGCTGAGGCACCAGCGAGTTCATACTGGAGAGAGACCGTTCCCTTGCTCTGAGTGTGGAAAGGAATTCACTCGATTATCCATCCTGCTGAGACACCAGACCATTCACACTGGGGAGAGGCCCTTCACTTGCTCTGAGTGTGGGAAGAGATTCACTCAGTCATCCACCCTCCTGATACACCAGCGTCTTCACACTGGGGAGAGGCTGTTCACCTGCCCCGAGTGTGGCAAGGGATTCACCCAGTCATCCAACTTACTGAGACACCGGCGCGTTCATACTGACGAGAGACCTTTTCAATGTCTGGATTGTGGGAAGGGCTATAAAAGCTCGGGGGAACTGATGTCCCATCAACGTGTTCACACGAATGAGAGGCCATTCAGATGCTCTCATTGCGGCACTGGTTTCAAGCACTCATCTCAACTCACAGTTCACCAACGAGTTCACACCGGGGAGAGGCCATTCACCTGCTCTGAGTGTGGGAAGGGATTCACTCGGTCATCCCACCTTCTTGGGCATAAGCGAATTCACAAATAGCAACAATGATTATCACACCCAGGATTGCACCATGTCCACTGGGGTCTGTTTGTGCTGATGTTGATTAAACCCCAGCCTAGTTGTAGGTGTTAGTATTCCAGATAAAAGTTAAATAAATCAATTTTGCGTTAATATAGACTGTGTTGAATCCTCTGATTATGTTTAACACAAGTTCATTCCTTGTGAAGGACTCATTCTCTTCTATTCCCTCCATTGTCGCATCCAACAATAAGTGTGAGGAGCTCATGGAATGTTCGCCAAGATTGGAACAATCCTATTTTCTGCATCTGCCGCTTCCCATCCTTCCACTGAACCATCCTCGGAGTGAGAGACAGTAGGAACTGCAGATGCTGGAGAATCCAAGACAACAAGGTGCAGAGCTGGATGAACACAGCAGGCTAAGCAGCATCATAGGAGCAGAAAGGCTGACGTTTCGGGCCTAGACCCTTCATCAGAAATGGGGGAGGGGAAGGGTGTTCTGAAATAAATAGGGAGAGAGGGAGAGGTGGATAGAAGATGGATAGAGGAGAGGATAGGTGGAGAGGAAACAGACAGGTCCTAACTCCCCACCTACACTCACCTTTACTGGCTCCATCCCCGCCTCTTTGACCTGTCTGTCTCCTCTCCACCTATCCTCTCCTCTATCCATCTCCTATCCGCCTCCCCCTCTCTCCCTATTTATTTCAGAACCCCCTTCCCCTCCCCCATTTCTGATGAAGGGTCTAGGCCAGAAACGTCAGCCTTTCTGCTCCTATGATGCTGCTTGGCCTGCTGTGTTCATCCAGCTCTGCACCTTGTTGTATCCTCGGAGTGAGCTTCCTTGAATTCGATCTGAACCTTTTGTTTAGCTTATCTCTCACCTCCCTTCAATCTCTTGGGGTTCGTTTTGTCCATGACACCCACATCCTGCTCCTTCCACCCTACTCCAAGTATTTAGCGCGTCACCCGATTTTGCCACGTATAACTGTTCTGTCTTTTCAAGCCTTGTCCTGCTCTCCTTTAAGATTATAGTTGATTATTACAATTGGTGTATGTTATGTTGGGATAGGTCCCTTTAAGAGGTGAGACATCAGCCAGCATTCACTGGCTTATTCAGGTTCGCATTGAGCTTTGCAGAAATCGCAGCTTGGGAATAAAACCTCCCTGTTTGAGGTTTGCACAAAATGACAAGGCTGTATGTTCTGTTTCATTTTAGAATCATAGAACCCCTACACTGCGGCAAGAGGCCATTTGGCCCATTGTGTCTACACAAACCGTCTGAAGTGAATCCCATCTAAACCCAGCCTTTTACCCTATCCCTGTGACCCTGCACTTAGAATGGCCAATCCAACCTACCCTGCACATCTTTGGACTGTGGGATGAAATTGGAACACCTGGCTGGAGACACAAGGAGAACATGCAAACTCCACACAGACAGTCGCCCAAGGCTGAAATCAAACCCAGGTCCCTGGCACTGTAGGGCAACAATGCTAACCACTGTGCTGCCCAGTTCTGACTGGAGCTTAGTAATTACCCAGTACAAATCAAGTACCATCATCCATCAAATGAACCCGTTGTTTACATTATTCTCTGAGGAATGTGGGTGTCACTGAGAATGTCAGCATCTGTTGTTCAACTCAAACTGACTTTAAACAAATCAGCTTGTTCCACTATTTTAGACTTAAGAGTCGACCACATCACTGTGATTTTGGATTACATGTATGCCAGGACAACAGATCCTTTCTCTTAAAGACAATTAGTGAGACGGATGAGTTTTAATGACAGTGTTGACGTAGCCACTAGCACAGGGACCAGCTTTGTATTAAAGCGAAAAGCTGCAGACACTGGAACTCAGAAGAGAAAACAGGAAGTGGTAGAAAATTTCAGTAAATACATGATCCCCTTCTATGCCTTTTCAGCTGGGTGGGTCTGCCCTGTCTTGATTCCATTCTTATTGATACATTTGTAGCTACAGGATCAATTAAAGTGGCAGTCGTTATATGAGGGATGTGTCTCACATGCCCTCTAAATGATCAGATGTCACTGAACTTTGACACACAAGTGTTCTGTTATCTATCCCATCTTAATGGTGCAGTATTGATGGGCTGAAGGGCCTCTTTGCATGCTGTAAAACATCTCTGACTCCCAACTTTTGCAGCCTCTGAATGAGATCAACAGAGAAAAGTGAAAACATTCTGATCCTCTATTGTCAAACTCATGGAGGACAAAATCATCTGATCATTCCAATTAAAGATCTGATAACTATGATTAAATACAAAGTGAAGAACAATTGTATTGCTCTGACATGGATGAATTGAAGCAGATTAATTGGTAAGATTGGTTAGCAGTTCTGATGAAGAGTCGCTGGACTTGAAACATTAACTGTATTCTTACTCACTCCACAGATGCTGCCAGTCCAGCTAGGTTTCGCCAGCAATTTCTGGTTTTGTTTCAGACTCCAGCATCCGCAGTTCTTTGTTTTATTTTGGGTCGCAGCTCTATTATTGCAGGATGGAGTTGCTGGGAGAGAGACTTTGTTCTTATCCATTCTGCACCGTCTGTTTGCAGAGTCTCTCTTCCCTTCCCTGGATTAAATGAGAGTTGGTTTCTCGGGGGACCAGTTGGTTTCTCCTATCTCTCCACGGAGTTAAAACAATTGATCCCTGATTCTGTTCCGGGAAATTGTCCCCGTGTTTTCTCCAAGGCCTTGACATCTTTCCCAATGCTTGGGATGAGTCAGTGATTTAAAGAGATTCAGTGGAATATTCTTGCTGGTACACTCCATTCATAAAACTATGGACCTTACTGCGAAATAACTAGATCACAATAGGACTTAGTTGATTGACGGCATCATGGGTCCAATAGGAAGTGGGTGGGCGTGACCGGATCGGTCACACCCCTGGCCTTACAAGCAATCAGAGTGAAGGAGGGGCGGGACCGGCGGCGTGACCATCAGCAGGAGCGGCGCAGCGGCACTTCCTAAAGTTGATGTGAGACGTGTGCATCGGTAAAAGGGGAGAAACAGCAGACAGCCGTGGAAAAACGGAGTCCTGTGTTGGAGGTTTCAGACTCAAATTAGAAACTTCCCCCTCCTGCGTTTGAAGTAAACGGGAAGACGTTTGCGGGCCTCACCGCCATCTTTGTTGGGGGATCCGCGGAATGAATACGTGGCCATATTTCATGGGGTCAAGGCGTAGCAAAGCGCATGTGCATCTTACAGGGGTTAAGTGGTAACCGGAGCAAGATTTACACACAGCAAACTCCAATTAAGAGGACTGTTTGTCTCTTCCGAATTTCTAAAACTGACACTAAAAACTCCTTTTTGCAGGATATTAAACGAAAAGTATTCCGGAGCGGAAATATCTGACAGTCAATCAGTTAATCAGGATATGAACATCATCGAGCTTTGAATGTGGGAGGATTAAGGTTTTTGTTCTGTCTGTTGATAAACAGTTTTGAACTTATGAGACCGAGAAGGCAAGACAATGATGCGACCTTACAAACGGAGGTGTTGTTCAACCGTGACCCTAACAGGTCAATTGTGGTGATGACATAGAAAGGGACATGGTGTGAGTAAGGACTCGAACTTCTTGATAATCCCAAGGCCATAGAAGTTGAATAAAAACCAAAAGAACTGCTGATGTTGTAAATCAGGAACAAAAACAAAGTTGCTGGAAAAGCTCAGCAGGTCTGGCAGCATCTGTGCAGGAGAAAACAGAGTGAACGTTTCGGGTCCGGTGACCCTTCCTCAGAACAGATAGTGGCTGGGAAAACGTCAGTTTATATGCAGAAAATAGGGATGTGGGTGGTGTATGGAGTAAACGATAAGATAGAGCCCAAAGAGAGAGAAAGACAGTTGGACAGACAAAGGAGTTGCTAACGATCAGGCTGGGAGGGTGAATAGTTGTTAATGGGGACTGTTAGTGACTAACAACAGGGGGTGTGTAATGGCAGGCTATGTGGTAACAAAGCCTGGTGTGTGGGCTGGGGGGCTGGGACTTGGGAGAGTTTAGGCCCTAAAATTATTGAACTCAATATTGAGTCCGGAGGGCTGTAGGGTCCCCAAGCGGAAAATGAGGTATTGATCCTCCAGCTTGCGTTGGGCTTCACTGGAACACTGCAGCAAGCCAGAGACAGAGATGTTGGCCAGGGAGCAGGGTGGTGCATTGAAGTGGCAGGCAACGGGTAGTTCAGGGTCTTTTTTTGCGAGCAGAACGTAGATGTTCTGCAAAGCGGTCGCCAAGTCTACGCTTCGTTTCCACAATGTAGAGGAGACCACATTGTGAGCAGCGAATGCAGTAGACTAGATTCTCGGAAGTGCAGGTGAAGTGTTGCTTCACCTGGAAGGTATTTTTGGGCCCTTGGACACTGGGGAGGGAGGAGGTAAATGGGCAGGTGTTGCACCTTCGCCGGTTACAGGGGAAGGTGCCATAGGGCTGTGGGGAGGTGTTGGGGGTGAAGGAAGTGTGGACCAGGGTGTCCCGGAGGGAACGGTCCCTGCGGAAGGCGGACAAGGGAGGGGAATATGTGTCTGGTGGTGGCATCTTGCTGGAGGTGGCGGACATGGCGTCTGTTGGCCATTTCCGCCACCTCCAGACACATATTCCCCTCCCTCCCTGAAAGCCTGATGTTTCAGCTGGAGTAAAACTAAGTGGCAAATAGTATAAGTCCAGCAAATATTAAATTGGTTTAAATTACAACAGTTTGCTAATGCTGTAAGAGAAGTTCAGAGATAGCTGTAAACTCCAACTTCAGTGCTGAGAACAACACTGAATATCAAAGCCTGAGCAAGTCCTAATAGTGGCTTTTCCATTTTTTGTCAGTTTAAAAAAAAACTCAATTCTTCTCATTATGCAATTTGTTTAAAAAAACTAAATCAATAATTCAAGGTTTGGAAATGAATTCAGTGAGAATTGATGAAATTAATTTATGTCGCCAATTATACCTTCTACCTGTAGAATGTATTCAGTTCCCAGCTCTTGTCAAGTTTACACCACAATTGTTAACAGCTGATGGTCACTGCCTAAGTTGGTCAAATGGTCACTGATAAGGAAGTGTCTGACTTGATGAGAACTTTGCCGAATTAGCGAGGACTGAGACATCTCTTTAGGATTTGTTTTACTTTTATATTCAGAAGTGCTATCTGAGTGACTTTCCCACTACGAAATCAACATGACATTTTTTGTTTGTTTTTATTGAAACTACTAACCACGACAAGTAAAACAGTCTTGTAGGCTATTAAGTATTTACGGAAGAAGCCCATTATGGGCAATGCAAAATTGCTTTTATACCCAGAAGTGCTATTACGAACAACTGAGCAACTTTCCCACCAAAATCACTGCAATTTTTCTTCCCCTTTTTTTTCTCTTTCAACTACCATCAGTAATCACCCGTGTAGTCAATCAAATATTTACAAACAAAGCCTTTTATTGGCAATGCAAATCATCAAAAGTGAGGGGGTCTCTTTCGAACCTGTTTGCCTTTCATTTCAAATTGTTTTCAGTCCCTTTAATTGTAATTGTTTTAGGCGTCTCTTTCATTGCTCTCAGGATGTGGCTGTCACAGATAAGGCTAAAATTTATTGCCTATCCCTAAATATCCTGAAGATGGGCTGTAAACAAAAAATGCTTGAAATCACAGCAGGTCAGGTAGCATACATGGAGAGACAGTAAGCTAACGTTTCAAGTCTAGATGATTGTTCATCAGAGCATAGAAGATGGGGTCCTGAAGATGGGGTCAGCTGTATTCTTGAAACAACACCATTCTTGGGGTGCAGAACCACTCATAGTGCTCTTAGGAAGGAAGTTCCAATTATTTGACTGTCTCTCTCTTTCTTCCCCCCACTTCGAATTATAAGTACTTTTGGCATAGTAGTTATTTTCTGCAGTGCAGATACCCCAAAACGATCTGCTCAACATTTCTGCAATTTACTTGTTATCCATTATTACTCTTTAGAGGACCAATGCTCACTTTACTTTCTCTTTTTATTTCTAATACAAGCAAAAGCTGTTACACTGAGTTGTTAAATTTACAGCTGGCTTTTTACCCCTCATACATCTAATTTCACCCTCATAGTTTTCAGTCTTTCTTTGCTGGTTTTAAAATTCTTTCCAGCCTTCTGACCTGCTTTCTTTTTTTAAGAATTAGAATTATAGAATCTCCACAGTGTGCAATCAGGCCATTCAGCTCATTGAGTCCACACCGATCCTCACAACAGCATCCCACCCAGACCAACCCACCCACCTAGCCCTATCCCTGTAACCCTGCATTTCTTATGGCTAATCCACATCCCTGGCAATTTAGCAAGGCCAATCCACCCTAACCTGCACATTTTTGGACTATGAGAGAAAACCAGAGGACCCGCACAGAAACAGGGAGAATATGCAAATTCCACATGACAATCACCCAAGGGTGAAATTGAACCTGGGTCCCTGGCGCTGTGAGGCAGCAGTGCTGACCACTGTGTCATCCCTGTATGTTGTTCTTTGTTAACTTCCTTAGTTGACCACAGATGGGGTTCCTTCTACTGGAAATTCTCCTTTTAAACTGCAATGTAACATTGCTGAATGTATTGAAGTCAAAAGGTTCCTCATGCTTAGATTACATGGAATACAGGGAGAACTAGGCATTTGGATACAGAACTGGCTTGAAGGTAGGAGAGAGAGGGTGGTGGTGGAGGGTTGCTTTTCAGACTGGAAGCCTGTGACCAGCGGTATGCCACAAGGATCAGTGCTGGGTCCACTGCTTTTTGTCATTTATATAAATGATTTGAATGTGAACATAGGAGGTATGGTTAGTAAGTTTGCAGATGACATCAAAATTGGTGGTGCAGCGGAAAGCAAAGAAGGTTACCTCAGAGTACAATGGACCTGGATCAGATGGGCCATTAGGCCAAGGAGTGGCAGATGGAGTTAAGTTTAGATAAATGTGAGGTGCTGCATTTTGGAAAGGCAAATCAGGGCAGGACTTGTACACTTGATGGTAAGGGCCTGGGGACTGTTGCTGAACAAAAGAGACCTTGGAGTGCAGCTTCATAGTTCCTTGATTGTGGAGTCACAGGTAGACAGGATAATGAAGAAGGCATTTGCTATGTTTGCCTGTATTGGTCAGTGCATTGAGTATATCAGTCAGGAGATTACTTTGTGGTCGTACAGGACATTGGTCAGGCCTCTTTTGGAATACTGCGTTCAATTCTGGTCTCCCTGCTATAGGAAGGAAGTTGTGAAACTTGAAAGGGTTCAGAAAAGTTTACAAGGGTGTTGCTGGGGTTGGAGGGTTTGAGCTATAGGGAGGGGCTGGATAGGCTGGGGCTATTTTCCCTGGAATGTCAGACACTGAGGGGTGACCTTATAGAGGTTTACAAAATCATGAGGGGCATGGATAGGTTGAATATCCAAGGTCTTTTTCCCAGGTCAGTGGAGTCCAAAACTAGACAGCATAGGTTTAAGGTGAGAGGGGAAAGATTTAGAAGGGACCTGAGGGGCAACTTTTTCACGCAGAGGGTGGTGCATGTATGGAAATGAGCTGCCAGAGGAAGTGGTGGAGTCTGTTACAGTTACAACATTTAAACGTTACAACATTTAAAAGACATCTCAATGGATACATGAATAGGAAGGAAGAATATGAGAGATATGGGCCAAATGCTAACAAATGGGACTCAATTAAATTAGGATATCTGGTCGGCATAGACGAGTTGGACTAAAGGGTCTGCTTCCAGGCTGTACAGCTCTATGACTCTATCTCCTGAGATGTCTGCCACTGCTTCTCTACTGACCTATCTTAATTTCTTTTGCCAGGGCAATTTAGACAACTCTGTCTTCAATCCTTTGTTATTGCATTTATTCAAGTTTCAAATAGTAGTCTTAGATTCACTCTTCTCTTCCCTGTACTGATTGAAAATTCAAACATGTAGTGATCACAACTGCCTACAGACTGTATCTTTATGATGCCATTCATTCAGTTCATTCTTGGATTTGACGAGCAGCGAAGTGCAGTGACTGTAGTTACTTGTGAATTCGGTGGCGTTTTACCAGATGGGATGAACAAATAAATCCTCTTCCACTCTCAGTCCAGTTGAACAGTTTCTTTCCAGCGCGAACTCAGTAGTGTTGAGCAGCCAGTAAACTCTTTCCAATACTAAGAGCAAATGAATAGTTTCTTCCTAGAGTGTACTTGCTGGTGCGTGAGCAGATGGGACGACTGAGAGAATCCCTTACCACACACAGAACAGGTGAATGGCTTCTCCCCAGTGTGAACTCGCTGGTGCACAATGAGATGAGATGATCGCCTGAACCCAGTTCCACAGTGAGAGCACCTGAATGGTCTCTCATCGGTGTGAACGTGCTGATGTGACATCAGGTTCCCCGAACTTTTATAACAGTTCCCACACTCGGGACATTTAAAGGGTCTTTGACTAGTGTGAACACGTTGATGGGATATCAGTTCCCCAGAACCTTTGAAGCATTTTCCACAATCTGGGCATCTAAAAGGTTTCTCTCCGGTGTGAACTCGCTGGTGTGTCTGCAGGGTCGATGACTGAGCAAATCCCTTCCCACACTCAGAGCAGGTGAACGGCTTCTCCCCAGAGTGAGTGCGCCGATGAGCTTCCAGCTTTGATGGGGAAATGAATCCCTTCCCACATTCCTCACATTTCCACGGCTTCTCCCCAGTTTGACTGCACTTATGTTCTGATAGGTAGCATAATCGGCTGAAGCTTTGCCCACATACAAAACACATGTACGCTTTCTTCCCTCTGTGAGCAGTATTTTTAACTTGCATGTTCAAAAGACGATAAGAATTACAATGTACTTTCGGTTCCTGATGCGATGTTTGGTTTGAATTTTCCAACTGCAAATCTCTCGATCTTCCCAGACCCTGTGAACTGGATGTAAAAGCAAAAAAAGGAAAGTGAGAGACAACGAACAAAAACACAAAGGCAGGTCGTGAAACTGAGCTGAATGAATCTTGAAATTGGTTGACGCTGGCATTAGGAAACATAGTGACCATGAAAGCTGCTGGATTGTCATAAAAACAGGTAAGTTTCCAGCCCAGAGGGTGTTCCTTTCCACAGTCCCCACATTCCCCTGGTTTCTTGGAATAGTATCTGCACTTGTGTAATGACTGGGTAATGATTGACTGAAGCCTCATCCATACATGGAACAAGTGTACATATTCTTCCCTCTGTGAATGGTGCTTTTGACTTCCATGTTCAAATTCTGATTCAGATCCTCATGAAACAAATGTCTGGGTCAGTTCTTGTTGTGATGTTTGGTTTTAGATCCTAACGTTCAAATCCTGCATTTCTAACTCCCTGTGAAGCGGGAGTGTGGGACTAAACATGATTGTTCTTTCAAAGTGACAGCACGAGCATAAAGAATTGAATGGCCTCCTTCAATCCCGTAAGTTTATACGGTGCCAGATGTTGGCCATTCAATCTCCTGAACCTGTTCCACCATATACTGAGGTCATGGCTGATGTGTGACCCTTGCCCCTTAAACCGCCCAGTGCCCATTTGACGTTACGGCCCTATTAACATTGATTGACATACCACTGGCAAGAGAAACATTAGAAACACTACTAAGAGAACGAGACCCAAGTGACACCATCTCCACAAACAACATGCTGAAACTACTGGACCGATGCCTCACGACCCATTTTACCTTTCATGGCCAACTCTATGAACAGATCAATGGGACACCAATGGGGTCACCTATCTCCGGGCTAACAGCAGAAGCAGTGATGCAGAGACTCAAAAGCATAGCCCTTCCACAGATCCAACCCAAACTATGGATCCGATACGTGGACGACACCTTCGTCATCAAACGGACCAAACTAGAGGAGACACACCAACTAATAAACAACACTCTCACCAGCATCAAATTCACCAGGGAAGAGGAAAACAACAAACAGCTTCCATTCCTGGATGTCATGGTAGAACGCAGGGCCAACTGGGAATTCCTAACAAGGGTAGACAGAAAAGCCACACACACTGACCAAGCACTGAATTTCAACACTAACCACCCTAACACCCATAAACGAAGTTGTGTGAAAACACTATTTAAACGAGCGACAACACACTGTAGCAATCCAAAACTACACCAAAAAGAAGAAGAGTACCTCCACCAAGTATTCAAGGACAAAGGATAGCCGGACAACTGGATCTGACGATGCCAGTCACACGAACAACAACAGGAAGATACTGCACGCCCTAACACACTCATCATGTTACCATACATCAAGAACATATCCAAACTAACCACAAGACTCCTATGACCATTTGGCATCAGAGTAGCACACAAACTGTGGAAGAAAAATTTTACATCACAAGGGTAGATGGGAATTTAGGCCAAGACAGAAAAGGCAGCCATGGGAGAAACTGATGGCATAGAGAAAGAATTTTAATTAGTTTAGCACGTGGGATTTTAATGAGCTTAGCAGAACTCGGGAGGTAGTTACTCAGACTGCGTTATCACTATGTGCATGTTATCTTAGCTAGAGCTAGAGAAGGACCTCTTGATATATTGTCACTATACCAAGGTTTTAGGCTGAATTAGAGATGTCCCTTGTATCCCCGCGGGGCCTAGTTACTGATAAGCTGGAGTTAAATCAAACCGTATATCGCTCCCCATGCTAGCTGCATGCCGAAGGTCATTTGAAAAAGTAATTATTAAGGTATCTGTAAAACAGCATTCCTGTAATCTCGAGCAGTGTCTGTTTTCTTTAAACTTACAATGAATGAATCAACAAACACAAGATGTCACAGGAACACCCTGCTCTGAAGTTAATGGTATAAAAGAGATTGTTATACTCTGTACAGAGAGAGAGTCAGGTGTCGGTGGAGATCGACACTCACTTTCCTTGGTACCAAGTAAGAAAATAAACTGCTTTGAACGAGAGCTGGAGTCAAGTCTCATTATTAGTTAAGTAGAAATAAAAATAAAATTTCTACAACACAAATCCACGTTAACCCTATGCCAACTGCTAACTCGGACCAAAGACCCCCAACCCACTGTGGACAGGACCAACGTAACATACAAAATTCCATGCGAGGACTGCGACAAACATTACATTGGACAGACAGGAAGAAAATTAGCCACAAGAGTACATGAACATCAACTAGCAACAAAAAGACATGACCAATACTCACTCATCTCCATTCACACGGATGAGGAGAACCACCAGTTCGATTGGGACAACACCTACGCTCGGTTCGCAACAAATGACTGCACCTCCCAGTCGCGAACCATTTCAACTTCCCCTCCCACTCCTTGGACGACATATCCAACCTGGGCCTCCTGCAGTGCCACAACGATGCCACCCGAAGGTTGCAGGAACAGCACCTCATATTTTGCTTGGGAACTTTGCAGCCCAATGGTATCAATGTGGACTTCACAAGCTTCAAAATCTCTCCTCCCCCGACCGCATCCCAAAACCAGCCCAGCTCGTCCCCGCCTCCCTAACCTGTCCTTCTCCCACCTCAAGCCTCACCCCCATCTCCTTACCTACCAGCCTCATCCCTCCTCCTTGACCTGTCCGTCCTCCCTGGACTGACCTATCCCCTCCCTAACTCCCTACCTACGCTCACCTTTACTGGCTCCATCCCCGCCTCTTTGACCTGTCTATCTCCTCTCCACCTATCTTCTCCTTCTCTCCCTATTTATTTCAGAATCCCCTTCCCCTCCCCCATTTCTGAAGAAGGGTCTAGACCCGAAACATCACCTTTCCTGCTCCTCTGATGCTCCTTGGCCTACTCTGTTCATCCAGCTCTACACCTTGTTATCTCAGATTCTCCAGCATCGGCAGTTCCCAATATCTCTAAACCAGGATCCTAGGACAGGCAAAACAGAGACAAGCATGGGAATTCCTAGAGGCCTGGTTCTTCAATTTAACTGGGACAACGTGACCATTCTAGCTCAAGCCAATGACAGACATCCAAGGAATTCCTAGAGGCCTGGTTTTCACCCCATAATGCAATTAACAAATATGTGGAATTAGACCCAATATATTAAACCCATGCAGAACAGAACCAGAAATGACACAACTCAACTTAACAGATCAGATCATAGAAATACCAAGCAGAGTACAGCAATATCGCTTCATTGGAGGCCGCACTGATGATGTTACTTATAAAGTGACAGAACCAACTTTTTTTCCTTCCACAAAGGCCAATGACTGTCGAATTCTGATGAATCAAGTAACTGTCTGATCCTGATGTGACGTTTCCCTTCTGCAAATCCTTCTCATTAATATGCTGTAAAAGTTTACAAAAAAAAATACAGCAATGCCAGTCCAGGACAGGAATTTAGAAAAAAACTAGTTTTCTTTTGGTTCAGTTTGCTGTGCGCAAACATTCTGCTTCTCGTCCAACCCTCACAATGGGTTGCGACGCATGCGCCCCGCTGCCTCATGCCCCCTATAAATATGGCAGCCGCGCGTGTGTATTGCCTCGAACAAAGATGGCGGCAGGAAGGCGAGCCTGCCTTTGCGCTGCTATTGTTTCGAATTCCGATCTGGGAATACATTATATGTTTATGATGCCTCCTGTCTGCACTGTCTCCGCTTTTTCTCCTGCTGTCCGCTGTTCCCCCCCCCCCGTTTACCTCTCTCCACAACCTCACACTCAGTGCCTGAGCGAAATACTGGTTAGGGGGCCGCCCCTCGTTCACACTGATTGGAGGACTAACTGCACATGCGCGGCCTCCGACTCCACCCTCCACTCTGCTATTGGCCCGCAGATGCCGTCAATCAGTCGCGTCCTTTTCCGTGGTGGTGACGTAAACCTCCCTCCGTGCCGCCCACTGATTAGTTTCATTCACGTTGAATGATGCAGTGTCCACATTACTGGGGGAAGCTGGTGGCCATTCAGCCTGTTGTGGGTGTACTGGCTCCCTGTGAGTACGATGCAAATCTGTCCCAACTGATGGTGAACTAGAGCTGGGCGTTTCAGTGCACGTGTGGAATACCGTAGGGTTCAGTGCTGGGACCCCTCTCTGTTCGCAATACACATTAACGATTTGGACGAAGGAATTGAATGCAATATCTCCAAATTTGCACTAAGCCTGCTTGAACGGTGTGCTGTGAGGAGGATGTTAAGGCGATGCAGGGTAACTGAGGCAGGCGAGCTGAATGGGCAAATGCAACATGCTGTGGATAAATGTGAGGTTATCCACTGCACTGGCAAACACAGGAATTATTATCCGAGTGGTGGCCGTTTAGGAAAAGGTGAGATGCAATGACACCTGGGTGTCATGGCGGAGCAATTGTTGAAGGTTGGCATGCAGGTGCAGCAGGCAGTGAGGAAATCTAATGGTATGTTGGTCTTCATAGCAAGAGGATTTGTGTATTGGAGTAGAGATGCCTTGCTGCAGTTATAGGGAGCCTTGGAGAGGCCACACCTTGAGAATTGTATGCACTTTCAGTGTCCTCGTCTGAACGAATGGAGGGGTGGCGGTGGTAGATCTCATATAAAATCCCAATGGGGCTGTACAGGCTCGATGTGACAAGAATGTTCCACATGTAGGAGAAGTCCAGAACTAGGGGTCACAGTCTAAGAATAGGGGGTAAGCCATTCAGGACTGAGATAAGGAAGAATTTCTTCAATGTTGTGAACCTGTGGATTTCTCTCCCACAGAAATCTGTTGGGACCAGTTCATTAGAAATATTGAAAGGGGAGTTGAACATTGCCCTTACATCTAAAGAGATCAATGGGTACGGAGAGAAAGTGAGAATGGGATACTCATGATCATATTGAATGGTAATGCAGATGTGAAGGCCTGAATGGCCTACTCCTGCACCTATTTGCTGTCTTTCTATGTGAAAACTAACACCTCACTTTTGGACAGCATTGAAATGTGAAAAAGGAGGAGCCAAGGATAGATCATTGGGGAACACCAAACATAAGGTCTGAGGAGAGGAAAGGGAGGGTGGAGATGGGATGGGTGTTTGGAAGGAAGGTGGAGTCAGGGGTTGTTTTTCAAGGATAAGTGGTGGTTGTGGGATTAATGGCAAGATGGACAATAGCAGAAGAAATCATTATGGATACCATCAGTGTTGACATTGTAAAATAATCAATATTGTCTCAGGAGGCTCGGGTAGAGGTTAACAATTATTTATTTTGTCATTATATTGAGAGGGCATTCCAGAGAAAACTCCAAAATCAAGATTTACCTTCAGCAAGAAATCTCAGATTTATACGTTGTAATTCTCAGCTCCACCCTCTGCAATTGGATCCTCAGCTTTCTGACCCATAGGCTGCAATTAGTGAGGATAGGTAACTGCACCTCCTTCACAATAACACTCAACACTGGAACCGCCCCAAGGATGCATCCTCAGCCCCCTAACGTATTTCCTGTACACCTATGACTGTGTTGCCAAATTCCGAATGAACGCCATCTACAAGTTCGCTGATGACACCAATGTGGTGGAACGGATATCTAACGATGACGAGTGAAAATTTAGAAGGGAGATAGAGGGTTTGGTGACATGGTGCAATGAAAATAATCTGTCTCTCAACATCAGCAAAACTGACGAACTGATCATCGACTTCAGAAAGAAAGGAGGAGAGCATGCCCCCGTCTATATCAGCAAAACTGAGGTTGACAGGATCGAGAGCATCAAGTTCCTCGGAGTGATGATAACTGACGACCTGTCCTGAACTTCCCACGTAGATGCGATGGTCAAGAAGGCACAACAGCAGCTCTTCTTCCTCAGGCGGCTCAGGAAATTTGGCATGTCCATAAGGTCCGTCACCAACTTTTACAGACACACTATTGAAAGCATACTGTCTGGGTGCATAATGGCCTGGTATGGCAACTGCTAGTCCAGGACAGTAAGAAACTACAGAAGGTTGTGTGCACAGCCCAGATCATCACAGAAGCACACTTTCCATCCATGGAAAGGCTGCCCACAGCATCAAAGACCCACCGCACCCTGATAATGACCACCAACAACCTTTTCCGTCAGGCAGAAGATACAGAATCCTGAACATGCACAAGCAGGTTCAGGAACAGCTTCTTTCCAGCCATTATCAAACCGTTGGATGGACTCTAGCCTCAAATAATGTAACCTGTATGCATCTAAGTCTTTTTTATCTGTACATCCTTTGCTTGCTGTGATCTGTCTGTACTGCTCATAAACAAAGCTTTTCACTGTATTTTGGCACACATGACAATAAAATCAATCAATCACATAAACAGTATAATGCTCGCATTTTGTGAACTGCTCTGTTTTAGACAAACACCTTATTTTTCCAACGGAGTAGGACACTGACTTTAATGCAACATCTCTCCTTATTTTCCCCGAAGATGCTCTAAATCCTTTTGACAGCCTAAAGCAACTCTCAGAGTATTGAAATGCCTGTTGCTACGCTGAAGGTACTTTTGCTCGGGGTCAACAACATTGCAGCATCAGAAAAACTTGAACGTTATTGCTAGTTCAGCCACATTGCACTTTTGCAGGACTCTTTCAGGGAGAGTCCCAGAGGACTGGAAAATTGCTACCCCTCTGTTTAAGAAGGGATTAAAGCAAAAGACGGGAATTTATAGTCCAATTAGCCTAACCTCGGTTGTGGTTAGATTTTACAGTCCATTGTGAAGGTTGAGATTTCTGAATACTTGGAAGTGCATGGTAAAATAGGGCAAAGTCAGCATGGTTTCATCAAGCGGAGGTCATGCCTGACAAATCTTTGAGGAGGTAACAAGCATGTCAGACCAAGGAGAGCCAATGGATGTTGTCTACCTGGACTTCCAGAAGGCCTTGAACAAGGCGTTACACAGGCGGCTGCTGAGTAAGATACGGGCCCATGGTTAGAGGCAAGGTGATAGCATGGATAGAAGATTGGCTGTCTGGCAGAAAGCAGAGGGAGGCGATAAAAGAGTCCTTCTCAGAGTGGCAGCCGGTGACTAGTGGTCAATGTTGGGACCACAACTTCTCACTTTATACGTTAATGATCTAGATGAAGGCACTGAAGGCATTCTGGCCAAGTTTGCAGATGACACAAATATAGGTAGAGGAGCAGGTAGTAATAAGGAGGCAGGAGGCTCCAGAAGGAGTTAGACAGGTTAGGAGAGTAGGCAAAGAAGTGGCAGATGGAATGAAACGTGGAGAAGTGTGAGGTGATGCACTTTGATAGGAAGAATAGAGGCATGGACTATTTTCTACATGGGGAGAAAATTCAAAAATCTGAATTGCAAAGGGGCTTGGGAGTTCTAGTTCAGGATTCTCTCAAGGTAAACTTGCAGGTTGAGTCAGTAGTCAGGAAGGCAAATACAATGTTGGCATTTATTTCGAGAGGACTAGACTAAAAGCAGGGATGTGCTTGTGAGGCTTTATAAAGCTCTGGTCAGACCACATCTAGAGTATTGTGAGCAATTTTAGGCCCCATATTCAGGAAGGATGTACTCATCCTGGAGCAGATCCAGAGGAGGTTCACGAGAATGATCTCAATAATGAAAAGCTTAGCATATGAGGAACATTTGAGGACTGTGAGTCTATACTCAATGGAGTTTAGAAGGATCAGAGAGGATCTAATTGAAACTTCCAGAAGACTGCACAGC